GTAACATCCTCCACAACTAGACTGAAGAACAAAACGACAGCAACTTGTCTGTTCCCCTTCCCCCAATTCCCCAGCACTGTTCCTAGTCCCCTAATTCCCCAATAAAAATCTTTTAAAAAAAAAAACGCCATAAATGAAAAGTTTACATTCCTGCTCATCAATTAAGAGCTTTCAACTTCATTCCTATCTTTCGTGAGGAAAGACTTTAGGACCAAGGGGTAGGCAAGTCTCTGCTCACACAGATAAACATCCTCCTCCATTAAAACAAGCTGGAAGCCTGGAGATAATTAGACCCACTGTGTCAAGCAATCAGCATCACAGGGAAAAGGTCAATGACAAAAAAAACAATGACAAGAGAGCTGACTAATTCTTGAGAGAAACAGAAGGAAAGCCTTTGTAGTCAGTTGAAAGACGCTTTGGTTGTTGTGGTCTATAGATAAATCTGTACTTACTTGTGTGATGTTACTTTGGTTTCTGTCTCACCTTTACCCTCTCTTCTTGTTCTGCCCTAGCACAGACACACCCAGACTCCCAGACATAAGTTACCTTGTGTCTGTCACAGTAAAAGTATAGTGAACTTTCCTATGAAACCCTGTGAATAGCAGTCACTTGTCTTCACAGCATTGTACCTCCACAAGAGGAACACCTACGAGGTACTTTTGCTTTTATTTATTTATTTATTCTTTTCAATGCTTGGGATATGTTATGTTAGAAGAACCCTTGGAAATCCAAGACCTGTTTCATTTACTCTGTTTCTAATAGGACATTCATGGCTACTAGAATGATAACCTTGATAGTGTGATCATTTCCATGAGAACAGGACAGCATCGATTTCATTCATGCCTAGTACACAATGGGCTTTCAATACATATTTCGTAAATACATGAATAAACAATTGAACGTGAGTGGACAGGTGAAGGAAAATGGTTATTCCCCAATTAGAGACTCTAAAGACCTCTACTACGGCTTTCTCTCCTCTCCTCAGCCACACCACTTCCTTGTAAATCTACTATTTGCTCTGTCTTGCTCCTTCCTCATTGCTATGTTTCTTCTTTTACCTTCCTTTCAGGTCTTACTGATACTTAGTCATCTATCTTAGATGAGGCATTCTGATAAGCATTAGCATGAGAGCATACAAGTATGCACACTCCTTAAGATGCCTTCTTGTTATATGCACATATATGATTTCTGATTCCAAGAAAAGATACATTTTTGACAGATCACAAGGTAAGTTTTCAAATTGTGCATAGTAGTCTGTAAGAGTCCCAATAAGCATAGTGTTTTTTTAGCTTAACATTTTGTTAATGGTGGAAGTGCCAAATTTTTATATATATCTGTATGTACATATATATGCATATTTCTAGATGTTTTGTTACAACACCCCTTGTTTCCATGAGACTTAGAGGGAAAAATTGTAGTTTTTCTTAAAATTCAGTTCAAGTTTTTAAAGACCATTTCAATGACTTTCATTCATAAGTACTTTTCTTTAACTAACTTATAAAAGAACATTATCATAAACTTCATTAATTAGCCTGCTCAGTCAAGAATTCTGTAGACCAATATGTCTTCCATATGCCTGCTAATTAGCTTGCCACCTTCTTCTGAAATCCTTCTCCCATAGTATTCATTTAAGAAGTAGTAATAATGGAAAAGTCACTCTGTTTTTCAAGGACTTTTTAGAAGTCTGTTTTTGTACCAGCCATATCTCCCCACCTCTGTTTTTGATTAGTGAGATGTAAGATAAGATTAATAACCATTATAAATAATTAATGCTTACACTGCCTTTCACCAGCCATTATTAAGATGACCTTCTTTTCATAAAATGTTATGAACCAAATACATGGTGAACATTGCACATTTCTCTAAAATATACTAAAGGAAAAAAATCCACTCTGTGGGATTTTAATAAGATGGGCTAAGGAAATGGAACAGAATGTTAGAGCTGGAAAGAAGGACAGAAACAGCTCAAGTGAATCTTTTATAAATAAGAAAACTAAGACATAGATAGGTGAGCTGATTTTCTGAATTCTATACCGGCTGCTAACAAGATGTAACACCAATAACCCAATCCTTATCTGTCCACATCTACCTAATGATTTTTCCATGCAGAATACCAACTGCTCAAAGTCCATAACTTTACTCATAGGGTTGTTTTACCAAGGGGTGGGTGACTTAAAGTTCTTTTGGAGAAGTAAACACTAAGAATGCTCTTTAATTGATCAGTTCCAAGTATTCATTACTATTGCAATTATTTGACCTACGTGCTCTATCCATAGAAACAAATTCTATGATTTAAAAAATTGCTTTCAAACCAACCTAATTTATTTGGGGATGGGCTATGTGATTAGGTTTGGGTGAGTGCACAAAATAAGGGATCAAAACCAGGGAGTGATTCCCATCTACAGGCTGCAGAGCTCCCACATGTACTTCCTGCCGGAGCAGGAAGTGAAGTGAGTACAGACTGACCTGGGTCCATAGATGTGTCCAGGGAAAATGTAGCAAATGGCTTGGAGATAGTGGCTGTTGTCTTTGGACAAACCACAGGGGCAAACCACAGATGAGTTGTGGCAGTGAGCAGAATGCCAGCTAATCAGGCACTGTTTATCACCTCTGCAATCCTGTGTCAGAAAAGAAACCTAAAGTAGGACACGGCCAGGTAATATCTTCTGTCTGGGGCCTGTGGGTCCCCGGAAAAGATCATCACAATTGCAGGTCTGTGGCAAAAACCACTGCTTAGTTTGTGACCCGACCCATTTCCATGGTGCACCCCTCTCAGACAAGCCATGTGACTACACTGGTTCTGGATGTAAACATGCTATGGTTTGAGCACAAAACTGCTGCTTCTGGCCCATGTTGAATGTGTTTTCCAGAAATAATGAATTTGCGGTAATTCTTCATCTATACTCATGCCTGCATCTAATTTGTGAGATGTTTTGAGGGGTTACTGTGGCTTTGTAATTGAGATTTTTTTTTTTCCTTTGGGAAGTTAACTACCTTTTCCATGACCATTGTGGTTACCTGGCAACAGGGGACCACAGAGCAGCAACAGGGATTCTAAAACTAAAGAATGAGGATAGTTGATGTCTGTCCCACAGATAGGGTACTGCCGTGGCCCTGACTTGAGATGGGAGAATGTTATAGCAAATCTGTGGCCTCAGAGTCTGAAACCCCAGAGAGAAACAGGTGAGTCCCCAGCTCCTCCTGTCCCAGGAGAATTCATGGGAATTTCTAGATAAAGTAGCCTTTGCTCAGTGCTTCAAAGAAAACCTTTCTGTAAATGCTGGGAGAAAATATAAAAAAGACTTGTCATCATTTCCTGGGGAATGACCCCTTCCTTTGAACACTGCTGTCTTTCCAGATCATAGGACAGGACCTGAGCACACAGTAGGTGTTCAACAAATATTTGTTGAATGAATAAGCTGTCCCTCACTTGCTTTTCTCAGAATTGCACATTTGTCCCAACCATTTTACTGGTGTGGGAAGGGCAAGGCTGGGGGTGGGAGGTTGAGCCAGCCCTTTTTTAGAACCACCTTAATGAAATATCACTTTCACTTGTTCCCTTGTCAGGAGACAGCCACAAAAGAAGCTAGGGCATCCCAACCAACTCTCTCCAAATAAAAACCCAAGCCAACCCTGGCTACAAATATGGAAGCACAGTTTACCTCTATAACTAATCTATGGTTAATCACTGGAAAATTTGCATGTTGGCACAGTACTCAGTTCCCCTTCAAGTGTGGAAATACCTTCATTCCATTTAGAATAGTCTTACAAGCCTTGAATGAGAGCTGGACCCTGGAGAGCGGTGTCCTTTGTGATATATTCACATGTAACCATAGTTCTGCTTTGTTCAGTGTTAAAATGCATTTTTCATTACATGAAATGCGTGGGCCTTGTTTTTATTTACTTATATCCTTGGGTCTGTGGTCCACAGATGATGTGGGAAATTCACAAATCCCCCCAAAATTTTATGTGAAATGTTTCCATGTGCAAAGGAGTTCGTGATCCTCAAACGATTACCAGTCTTTGGAAGGGAGGTAATTTTTTGGTCTGTTAAGGAAAATGAAATTTAGCAAACGCTCATTTTCTTTTAATTTCCCTGAACACAGCACTTACAGAGATAATATGTCAGTGTGCTGACAATTCAGAGGTGAACATAATGTTACTGAATGGAAGAAAAATGCCCTGTGGTTAACAACTTTGAAATGAATAGCCCAGTGTACAACCAGCAGGAAAGCCAAGTGGAAAGTGAGACCGCTCTCACTGCAAATTCTCATTGGTGTTTTTGTTCTCCTGGTATATGGAGCTAAGTGCTCCGTGCAAGGAGAGAGCAGGGCTTTGAGACGGGAGACAGGGGAGGACCACGCTACCTTGGCTAACCTTTCGGTGGGTTCAGTGCAGCTCCTTCACGTCTAAGCAGGAATAAACAGGCCCATTGTCTGTTCGCCTGCCCTACTTCTCATCCCCTTCTTCTGCTCTTCTCGTGCCCTTGAGACAGACCTTCATGGTTTATGTAAACCAAATGGAGACTTGCACCTATGTTGTCCTAGCAAGGGAAGGTTAGGCCTTGGATGTAACTAATCGAGGGAATACAGAAAAGCGTTTTCTCAGGAAATTCTTTCCTATAAGACTTGTGTGCTCAATAGCTGTATTTCCAAAGCAATTTTTATTAAAATAATTTATTCACATGGACTCATTGATGACTGATTAACCCCTCCAATGCAGCCTTAAAAGCACAGGCTAAAAAGTTTGGAGAACAGATAAAAAGATATTTCACTTAAAGAAAGGAAATGTTTATGTTCTTGTCAAGTACTGAGAAAAAAAAAATGACCGTCAGGCTTATAGGTCATATTATTACTCCCTGCCAATAGAAATCTAAAGAATTTTTTTAGCTTTCCCATAAGCCCTGAAGAAAACACTGCAATAAAAACAAGCTTCATAAATACATTTGTTAATTCTAATTTGTTTTCTCTTAAGGATAGTAGGCTTTCTAAAGCATTTTTTTTTATTAATTATGGCACAATATGACTTGTACTGTGTGTGCTGAGTTACTATGGATACTCTGAGGCCATGACTCATGACCTTTAAATATTATCGTCAGGCAGCCAAAGGTCCCTCACTTTTAAATCAGCAGTTTTGTTTCAGGCGTTATTAAACGAAGGTGTTTTCAGTACTTTCACTTGTGTATTTGTGGCACATCTGAATATGCACTTAAAGGCATTGTACTCACAATGTTTTATTTTGTTTGGCTTCATTCGGTGACAGAATGTTAATTTATTTTAAGGTATATCATTGGGTGAATAAAAAATAAGGCATAGTCCTCATAGTCCTATGAGGGTGTCACTGAGAAATGTGGAAACATAGATGGACAAATAATTATATGCATCATGAAATGTAATAATGGATATAAAAGACAGATCTACACGAACTATAGAGGCAAGAAATACTTCTGACTGGTAGGATCAAAGAGGCAGCATCTGAGTCATGGTGTGAAGAATGGGTAAGGTTTCAACAAGCAAAGAAGGGGGCATGAGCATCCTAGTCAGAGGAAGCCACTTAAGAAAAGGATGAACATACTCTGGAACTACTGGGTAGTAGGTTGATGAAGGTATCAGTTTTGTGAGATGCACTGACAGAAGATACAATTAGTTAGAGGGTAAAACGGCCAGCCTATTAAGGTCCTTCCCTTTGTTGTTTTGCCCAGCAACTGTGATAACCAAAAGATTGTTTTCCATTTCATGATAAAGAGGTACTGTCAAGTAGAAACCACCAAAATACTGAGTTTGGTTGATTTCAGTATGATGCAAGAAAAGCAATTATATCTCTTAGAACCCCAGGGTGTCCTTCCACTAAGTAGGAATTTCATTAATTTTGTTCAATAATCACTGATTACTCTGTGAACGTTTTAAAACAAATTTTAAATTTTTTGAAAAGTGAGAGACATGCACAGAAATATGGAAATAAAATAACACATTTGTTAGGGAGATAGTAGGATAGAAAATAATAGCAGTCACCCTGGATTTTAAAGTAAGGTTTATTGGTTGGCAACAGTAGAGTGAGAATTATTAGGATTTGAGGTTTATTAAATCATTCATTTATGCATCCATTCACTCATTCAATAAATATTATTGATCGTCTTAGCCCTCTTTAATATGCTAAAGATAGAGTAATAAAAATAGCAACAGAAACAATCCCCTATTTTCAAGGAGTTTACATTTTCAGTTTTAGGAGATACAATAAGTATAATAAACAAGCAAATTATGTAGTATGTTAGAAGGTGGTGTGTACTGCAGAGAAAAATAAACAAGGTAATGAGGATGGATAGCAGGGTGGAAAGTTCAATTTTATTTATTTATTTATTTATTTTTAAAAGATTTTTATTGGGGAATTGGGGGGATGGGAACAGTGCTGGGGAATTGGGGGAAGGGGAACAGACAAGTTGCTGTTGTTTTG